GTCGGGGATCCAGCTGTCTTAACCTCGTTATTTGCTGGCTCCAGTTCTAATGATTTTTTTTTTTCAAAAGACATGAAAGTTTGGGGCCAGCAGGTGGCATGGTGGTTAAGGCACTGAACTCCCATGTGGCCAACTGCAGTTTGAGTCCTGGACCTGCTGGCTTGCTTTCTAACCTTCCCTCTCTGTCTTGCTCTCTCTGGTGAACACATGTGCCCTATAACAAATTAAAAATAATAATAATGAAATTAAATAAGTATTTTTAAAAATTTTTATTTAACTTTATTTTTATTTTTAATTTGAGAGAGAGGGACAGAGCAAGAGAGAGGAAAAGTGAGAAAGCAAGCCATCAGGTCCAGGACTTGAACCTTGGTCAACCATGAAGGAGTCCAGTGCACTCAAGCACACCACCTGCCAGCCCTTAAAATTAAATAATTCTTAAAAAAAATAAAAAGGAATGTGAAAACCTCTCTGATGGTATCAATAACTAATGAATTTAGATTATAATTAAAATTAAAATACACTACTATCAAGGCCCAGTCACTGGGCACGGCCATAACACAAGTAGCCTAAAAGTCTAGAAGTCATATGGCTGACCATGGGTTAAGTTCCTGAGGTCAGCCTGAAAACATGCTGGGTAAGACCATATTGAAGGTGCTTTGCCCCACCCACCCACCTTATATACACACACATATACTCTTTATCATTAGAAAAAAGTAACAACAACAAAACCTACTATCTAATTCAATCACAGCAAGAAAAATAAAATAACCCTGATGTATGAATAAATTATGACTTTTAAAAACTTGTAAGAAGAATTATTTGAAGTCTTTCTAAGGGTGGTCAAAAGTGAGAGCCATGATCTAGAATTAATATTTTTCTCTGTTGCTTGATTTATAGACTTTTTAAGAGTGCATCCTGTATAGTTTTATAATCTACCTTCTTCAAATAACATATTAAAACTAATGTCCATGTTAATAAATCTGTTAACATTTGTTGATTTCCTTTTGGTTCACTCTTCAAACAGAAGCAAGCAAGCAATAATTGTAAATTAAATACATCTTTTTAAAATTTGAGAACAGATCACTCTCTATTCAGCTAATATCAACCCAAATGTTGATAGTGTACATTAGTTTTAACAAAAATTTTTAAAAATCACATTACAGTATTATACTACAGTGGTTTTAGGAACACAGACTTTGGTAACAAACTTGAATTTAAGTCCTGGCTCTTTTACTGTGTAATCTTGGTCCTTAACCTCCCTAAATTTCAGTTCTCTCACTGTAAAATTATGGTAAGAAATGCTTCATAAATTACTTCTTTTCAGTCTTTACAAAAATCCTGGGGCTAGCCCCATGGCCTGTTGACTAAGGGAGATGGATCCTGGATGGACATCACCAGTTTGAATCCCAACCCTGATGGCTTGAAAAACAGACCAGTTGTGTGTACCTGTGTGCCTGAAATCTTGATAGAACAGAGAAATGGAGGAAAAGGGATTGCAGCATCATCACACCCTATTGGGGAGTGCTATCTCGCTCTTTATCTCTGGCACGTACCCTTTGGGGAAAAAAAAATTTAAATCCTGGTGTATATTTCCCAGTATATCAGGTGGCACGCAGTAAATAGATGGTAAAAATGATTATTTTTAGGGCAATAATGTCTAAAAAGTATAATTTAGCATAATTGGGTAACTGAAGTTCTTAAGATCCATAATCTGCAAGTCTTGTACAAATCTTGGCATATTTTATTATATTGTACAAAAATCAACATAACAAATTATCCTGGCTAGTTTCAGGGTTGAGAAAGTAGAAATCATGGAGCAGTATGGAGTAGTGTTTAGGCTACTGATGTACCTCCAAGTCTGAAAAGTCTTACTAACTGGTATGAAAGGTTTATGCTGTAGGGAAGAACAACTGACAATATCTTTAGTCAGGGCAGAATGTTATGAGGATCTGAACACAGAACTGGTCAGCCATTACGCCTTTTAAGCATGGCAAAATGGAGTTTGAACTCTTATAAACTATAATAATACTGGTGAACTTCATATTTAAATATGATAGACTTGAAAATCTACATAAATTTCTGGATAATTCCTATGCAATAATGTATAATAATGCTAGGAAGTCTCTCATCAGTGCCAACCACCAACAAATGTGTCACTGTAGCAAGATTTTTAAAAATTGTCTCTGTAGGGGTCCAGCAGATACATAATGGTTATGTCACTGCATTCCCACATGGTAGACTGCAGTTAGAATGCTAGACCCGGCAGCTTGAAACTCACACCAGGTGCCTGTGTGTGCATGCTCAAAATCCAGAGAATTAAGAAAAAGGGATTGTGGTATGGCCATCTCCTTTGGGGGTGAGCTCTCCTTTCTCTCTCCCTCTCTTTCTGGAGAGCACATGTGCCTATCACAAAAATCTCTTTAAAAAAAATCTCTGTTGCCTGAAAGAATAAGATAGTACCAAGGCAGACAAATATATGAGCTCCAATCCTTCCTCTTCCACTTATTGACTATGCGATCTTAGACAAGTTCCTTTAACTCTATGCCTTAGTGTTTTTCTTTCTAAGTTTGCTTTAGGATGCGTGCGCTCTCCATAGAGAGACAGCTAGAGACAGACAGAAAGTACTCCCCATGGGGTATGGTCATGCCACAATCCCTTCTCCATTCTCCTCTAAGGAGAATGTATCCAGTGTGATTTTCAAGCTGCCGGGTTCAGGATTTGAACAATGGGGTTGGTCATGAGGGATCCAGTGTCTTTAACTACTATGTCCCTAGGTGGCCTCTTTGGGAAAACAAAAAAACAAAAAACAGGGCTTCACCATGTCACAACTTTCCTGCCTCAGCCTCTCATCTGTGATTATAGGTGAACACTACTGTTAGGCCAGAGGCCTGGGCAGCTTGGATGTGGGGTTGGACGCCATGTCATAGTCAGCTGATGCAACCCGGATCTAGTCTGTCATCTGACCTGTGCTTCACTCGGATGTAGCACATGCACTCTGCTCTGCACATGGTGCTCTACTTTGCACACGGGACTCTACTCTGCACATGTCACCAGATGTTAAGTGGCACACTAGTCTGCTCTCCTCCTAAACCTTTACCATACATGGACCATACCTCTAAGACACGTCCCCTCCCCTATACCCTTATGAAAATTGCTAAACCTGTCACTAGCATGCGACTTCTCTGGTCCGTCTCCCTCCTTCTCGCTCTCTTTCTGTCGAACAGTGAACCAGCGAACCTTGCCTCAGGAGTGTTCCCAATAAAGGCTCTCTACATTTCTATTTTCTTACGTGGTCGGCCCATTCCTTACAACTACTGTGCACGTTTTTTCTTTTTGTAAGGTTTTTCCAGAGGGCACATGCATGTACCAGAACGAGACAAAAGAAGCGAGAAGAAAACACCCCCAAGTGGGGCACCGATATGCTACAATCCCTCCCCCTCCATTTCTCCACCCTGCTGGGATTCGGAGGACACATGTACACATGCCTGCGTGTTTCTCAAGTCTCCAAATCTAGGATTTAAACTGCATGCACAGCTGGGATCAACTGTCAGGCTAGGGGGTTGGCCTCAGCTCTTTTTTCTTTTTGTTGCCAAGTTTTCTTTTTAAACAAAGTCTCGTTTTGTCACTAAAGCCAATTTCTAGCTTGCAATTCTCCTCCCTCGGCCTCCCTGTATCAATGAGATTACAGGCACACAAGACCACAGCTAGTCGTTGGTTTGGACCTGGAATCAAACCAGGGCTTCCCAGTTTGTGAAGCAGCACAGCAACCCAGCAAACATGCCATAGTGGTTAGGCTTTAGTTTCACCATTTATAAAAGGGAATAATAAATACCTACCTTAAAGAATTGCTATAAGAACTAATAGTTAATGTATGTAAAACACTTAAAACAATTCCTACTACATAACATGCTCAGCAAACATTAGACCATTTACTATTATTATCATCATTATTACTGCACACTTAACTTCATATAGTTAAGTTCTTTGATATTTTGAGTAGGCTGTAGGATAGAATTAGCATTATCCACAGTGAGTACTCAGTGAGATATAGATGCACGTGAATGTTAAAAATACACTGAAAAATCTGAGAGCTGTGCCAGTAAGGTGATCCTCAAGAACTGAACTAGAAATATCCAACTTTACCTCAGGTATGTTTTGAATTAGCCCTTTTATTTTTTTAATCAAATTTCAAGGTTTTCTATTTCCTTTGCACCATCTGAACTGATTATCCTAACGCAACCAGAGATCTTTGCAGAGTATGGAGAGGAACACCACCCACACAAGCAATAAAGTAACTAAATTAAAATCAGGTGACCAAATTTAAATGGGAAGGAAAAAAAATGCAATACCTCTTCAACAGCAGAAAGTTTTGCTTTCAGTTCTCTAACAGTGGAATCTCCTTTATATTTCCTTTCAGTTAGGTCTTTATTAGCTGCTTCTAATTCAGACACCCTGTTTTGTAGCTGGTGGATATTTCTTTGATGGAGCATTTCCAGATCTTTTTTCTGTTGTTCATGCTGCTGTTGATACTGAACCTGGGCCTGTTAGATAGTAAAAATAAAGTACCAAAATTCAGAGAAATAAATTGGAGATTACAAATACAGAAAAAGATTTGGGGGCAGGGATCACCAATTTATTCTTTACAACTATAAGACTTCCCTATTCTAAAAAAGATCTGTTTCAATTACGGATTTCATAAAGGAGAAATTATAGGCAACAAAGGCAAATTTACCATCATAATTTTGTTCAAATGCCTATTTGTCTTAAAGTCACATGTGTTTAGAAGTATTGGTCTTCAGGTTAAAGGAAGAATAACACATGACTGGGAAAACAACAACAAAAAAAGCAAACTGCAGGAACCAGCAAGTGGCATGGTGCTTAAGGCCCTGACCTCCACCATGGCCAGTGATGGTTTCAGTCCCAGACCTGGCAGCTTGCTTTCTCTCTCTGGTGAGCTCAAGTGCCCTATAGCAAATTTTAAAATAATAAAAATAATTTTAAAACTTAAATAATTCTTTAAAAAAAAAAAGCAAACTGCAAAGAACTTTTGTTTTGCTTTAAACACATTATATTGTTTGTTTTTATAATCAATATATTTTATGATAAAAAAACCTAAAATTATAAAACTGGCAAGATTTGTTAGTCTAATCTCATACTTAATAGTTACATTTAAAATTTTTAAATTTATTTTTATTTAATGATGGAGCACATGTGCACAAATGGGAGAAAGTGCACCTGAGAAAGACCAACCCTTCAAAGGAGTTGATGATGATGTGATCCCCTCCTTCAAATCCTTTAGACCTCCAGGATCCTGGGCACGTGCACATGCACCCAAAGTGCTTTAGACCAATCAAGCCAGGGACTGGAACTGAGGTGGACACATGGCTTCTAACTCCACAGTCTTATTCACTACTGGCTGTTCTACAGAGGCTGGACTATAATAGTTACATTTCACTGATTGCAAAATTTGACCTGTTTGCAACTGAGTAATCTCTGAAACCTGTCTGAATCATACCACAGACCTACATATCTTAATAATTTCTATTAAAGAATACTACCAAATTCAAAATATGGGGTTTTTTTTTTCTTTTTTGAGAGGTTTTTCGCTATAGGGCGCGTGTACTCGCCAGACAGAGAGAGACATAGAGACAGAAAGCGAGAAATCACCCCCCGGGGGGATGGCCACGCCGCAATCCCTTCTCCTCCATTCTCCTCTCAGGATCTTGGGCATGCACGCACACGCGCCCGGTGTGAGTTTTAAGCCACCAGGTCCAGGACGCGAACCATGGTGGACTACATGGGAGTCCAGCGACATAGCCATTACGCTAACTGCTGGTTCCCAAAATATGTTTTAAAAATAAAATACTGAAGGACCAACAAATGGTGTAATGGTTACATCCTTGGATTCCCACGTAGTCGACCACAGTACAAGTACCGGACCCAGCGGAACTCACACCAGGTGTGTGTGCGTGGGTGCCCAAAATCCCAAGAGGAGAATAGAGAAGAAGGGATTGTGGTATGGCCATTCCCCCTAGGAAGTGATTTCTCGCTTTCTGGCTCTTTGTGTCTCTGTCGCTCAGGAGAGTGCACATGCCCCATAGCAAAAATCTCTCTCTTGAATAAAAATAAACTAATTAATTTAATAGAGAACTGATCTTTTTAAAAATTACTTATTTAATTTTACTTATTAACATTATTCTTTATTTTGCTATAGGACATGTATACTCACCAAAGAGAGGTAGAGAGAAAGGGAAAGGGAGAAAGCAAGCCACCAGGTCTAGGACTCAAACCACAGTTAGCCATGTGGGAGTCCAGTACCTTAATCACCACACCATCTGCTGGCCCCCGAGAACTGGTTTTAACTCAGTGATCATTAGAACTTGGGAATTTTGGGGACTAGCAGATAGCATACTGGTATGTGACTGGACTCCCACATAGTTGACTATGGTTTGATTCCCAGACCTGGCAGCTTAAAACTCACACCGGGTGCATGTGCATGTCATGCCCAAAATCTCAAGAGGAGAATGGAGGAAAAGGGATTGTGGTATGTTCAGAAATCACCCAGGGGGAGATTTCTCGTTTTTCTGTCTCTCTATCTCTTTCTGTCTCTCCTGTAAGTGCATGCACCCTATAGCAAAAAAATTATCTCATAAAAAAATAAAAAAGACTTGGAAATTTTTGTTAAATAAAAAATAAAAAGTATGAGGGATGACATCACAAAGTTTATACTTTCTACTTTGTTCACTTTAGATACATCTGAATGTTTTTATAACAAATAATGTAAGAAAAAGTATTTCCATCATAAAGGAAAAAAATAATCTTTGGAATGTTACATTCAGAGTTGTAGCATAATAACTGAGTCTAAAAGAAAAAGAAGAATTGGGGCTGGCAAGTAACATGGTGGTTAAAGGCGCTGGACTCCCATATGGCTGACCACAGTTCAAGTCTCGGACCTGATGGCTTGCTTTCTCACTTCCTCTTTTTCTCTCTCTCTCTCTCTGATCAAACTGGAAAATAATCATGATAATAATAAATAAAGTTAAATAAAATAATTAAAAAAATCGAGTTGTCTTTTAAAAAAATAAAAAATAAAAAAATAAAAAACAAAAGAAAAAGAAGAATTAGTAGAGGTAGAATCAATATTTGATAAAAAAAATATTCTACAGAGGCTTAATCAGGAGGAGACCTAACGCTTTTAAAAGTAGTTTAGGTGAGAAAAATGTTTGAAGATAGACTTATAATGGTAAGAACTAAAAAACAAAGACAAGTGAAAAATTCCATGAAGAAAAATGAATGGAGAAATCAAGATCAAGAAAATAACAGGTTAAAAAAAAGGAAGGGGTTAACGAGTGGTGTGGTGGTTAAGAGCACTGGATTCCCCCAGGGCTGACTGCGGTTCAAATCCCAGACCTGATAGCTTTCTTTCTCACTTCCCTCTCTCTCTCTCTCTGGTCAATTTGAAAACTAATAATAACAAAAAATAAAGTTAATTATTAATTTTAAAAATGCTTTCCTGTGAACACTGAGTAGTTTACTTGGGCTCTCAGAGTTAGGCCTCACTCGGGCAGGAGTCTTCTAGAAGGCACATTTCCTCAGGCTCCTGAGTCCCTGGGTTCCAGGGCTCAGCTGAATTCAGACACAAGGTCTTCCCTGGCTTGGGAATGAGAAGCCCAAAAGGTAGAATGGCCAGGAGCAGGGAGGGTGAGATGCGAGGCT